TTTCTGGACATTTCCTGTAAATGTGGCTTTCTTTTGCATGTGGCTCTCTTCACTGAGCCAAGGGTTATTCATCCATGCTGTAGCAGGTATCAGAGCTTCCTTTTTAGGGCTGAATATTATCCCACTGTGTGGATACAGCACAGGTTGGTTATCCATTCATTAGCTGATGGGTATTTGTGTTTGATTCTGCTTTTGGCTGCTGTGGATAAAGCAGCTGTGGACATGTGTGGACAGGTTTTCGGGTAGATGGATGTTTTCAATTCCTTCTGGTGTTGAAGGAATACCCAAGCGTAGAATTGCCAAGTCATACAGCAAACACGTGTTTATCGTTTTTTTTTTCTTTAAACATGTATTTATTTTTGAGAGAGAGAGAGAGCAGGAGAGGAGCAGAGGGAGAGGGAGAGTCATAAGCAGACTCTGTGCTGAGATTGTGACCTGAGCTGAAACCAAAGGTCTGGAGCTTGATGGACGTGTGTCCAATTTCTGAGGAGCCACCACCCCGTGTCCCGCAGCTGCCGCACCATTTAGATTCTCACCCGAATGCTTGGCATTCTAGCTTCTCCACAGACTCACCCACACTTAATATTTGGTCCTTATGCTCCCAGCCTTCCTAGTGAGTGTGGTGGCATCTGATTGAGGTTTTAATTTCTTTTTTTAAAAAGATTTTATTTATTTATTCATGAGGGACACACAGAGAGAGGCAAAGACATAGGCAGAGGGAGAAGAAGCCGCCCTGCAGGGAGCCCAATGTGGGACTTGATCCTGGAACCCCGGGATCACGTCCTGAGCTGAAGGCAGATGCTCAACCAGAGCCACCCAGGTATCTCTCAGTTTTGATTTCTGACCTTGATTGGTTTTCTAGCTTTTCATGGTCAAAAATGAGAGACATTTATGAAGTAAACAGAATGATGTTGAACCCCCAAGGATCCATGACTCAGTTTCCACCATGAGTCACTCTTGTTCTTTCCTGCTCCACTCCCTCCCCCACCCCAATCACTTATTATTACTGCCATTCACTTCAGTTTTACTTATAAGATGTACACTCAGTGAAAGGGATAGATCTTAGCTGTACAACTGAACAACTGCATATGCCCGCATCATCCGCACCTTCTGTTTAACATAGGAAATTCCTGTTTGCCTGGAAAGCTCTCTCGTGTTCCCTCAGAGCCCATCCCTACCCCACACAGAGGTGGCCGCTGTTTGAGTGATTTTGTCCACTGTCTTGACTGTCACATAGATGGAAGAGCGCATCCTCCTCTGCAAGTGAGAGCACCCACAGCGTGGCATTGCTCACCCTCTCGTCTTCATAGACCTGACTCGCACTCTTGGCTGCATGGAGCAATCAGAGCAGACCTCTATCCACCAGTGGCGGGGCCTCTTAGGGAGGTGACATCCATCTTGGTTTGCCCAGGACCATGGGGCTCTGGTGACCTGGCACTTTCTGTGCTCAGAGCAGGAAAGATGTGGGCAAAGATGTGCACAAAGATGTGCATGTGGACAAATGCAGGACTAGTTGTTCACCCTACCTACAAAATACAACCAAAAGCTCCCTCAGAGAAAAAGAAAGTTTTTGATTTCCCTCCTATTTTTCTCCAAACGTGGCTGGCCTAGGAATTATTTCCTTGGCTCAGGCCCCATAAATCCCCACCTCGAAGGGGGCATTTCTCAGAGGACTGGTGCTGGGAGAGTGGTTTCAGGATTTGAGCAGAGTAGCAGCACAGGGTGGTGATGCAGCAGAGGGCTTGCTGCAGTACAGGGAGGTGGCCGGCAGGCCAGGCCAGAGGGAGGTGGGTGGTGCATGCCTTGAATAGCCAAATGCCCACACAGAGGCAGAGGAGCACCCGCAAAGCCTGTGCACCTCTCAGGAGTCACCTTCTTGAGCTATTGAGTCAATGGTCTGGAAAGGTTCTTCCCAGGCTACCAGAAGTCCTGAAGCCAAGGAGAAAACTTCCAGAATGTTACAACAGTGGCCTTGTAGGGGCAATCTGGCCCAGAGTCTGAAAAACTCCCAGATGCCATTGAGTCAACTGCAGGGCTTGCCAAAATGCAGATTCATGGGCCCCACTCCAGGGTTTGATTTTGTGGTGAGAGCCCAAGAACCTGCATTTGTAACAAGCATTCTGGGGGATTCTGATGCAGGGTGTGCTAAATCCACTTTGAGAAATACTGGTTCTGTTCCAACCTCTTCACTGGAAACTGAAGCACAGAGAGAGGCAGTGACCACTACAAGGTCACACAGCAAGTCTGCAGCAAGACTAGGGAGTCAGGTCCCAAAACTTGTGGCACTCCAGGATTCTTTTTTTTTAAGATTTTATTTATTTATTCATGAGAGATATATAGAGAGAGAGGCAGAGACACTGGCAGAGGGAGAAGCAGGCTCCTCGCAGGGAGCCCAATGTGGGACTCGATCCCCGGACCCCGGGATCATGCCCTGAGCTGAAGGCAGAAGCTCAACCGCTGAGCCACCCAGACATCCCACACTCCCAAATTCTGAAGCAAACCCTAGATGGTCAGGGAAAAGACCTCTTGTGTGTTTAAGAAGTTCTTCCCCTTCCTGTAAAATCCAGGGAAAGGAGAAGGGTACTGTTGCCCTTGTACTGACCAGGCCGGCTGTGCCCATAACCAGTGGATCATCTCACAAGGATAGCTACAGTGGTAGATACAGTGAGAGATACAGTGCATCATCTGTAACCTGTGCATCATCTCGCACACATAGCCACAGTATATCGTGTGCCTGCAGGTGCAACAGCCTGCTCACTTCTGTGTGCTCATTTCCATTCACCACACTTCTCCCAGTGTAGAGAACCACAAGTCCAGAGAAGGCAATGGATCTGCAGTCAGTGGAAGTGTGGGATTTGAACCTGAGTCACAGACACAGACAGGCACATTGAGATGGGGACAGACCACCCCATTTTCTCTCTTCCTCCAGCTGCTAGACATAAAAAGAGCATTTCGTTTCAATTCAGTATTCCTGTGGGCACAGGCAGTGGAAATAATTTCTTTTTCCACTTCAGAGGTTTTTAATCCAAAGAACTGAAGTTGTCAACATCTTACTTTCCACTCAGGCAACTAGCTTTGGTCATTCATTCACTCATCCATCATATGTGTGTGTGTGTGTGTGTGTGTGTATACATATATTACTTCTGGAAAGTTCTACTGCACAGATTCAAACCTCAATCAACTAAATTAAAATTCTGAGGTCCTAACCAGGACATCAGGGGGTTTTGCAAAGCCCCCAGATGATTCTAATATGCAGCCAAAGCTGAGAACCACTGTGCCAGACCAGAGCTCCTTGAACTTTGATGTGCACATGAATCACTTGAGAGATTGTTAAGATCCAGGTTTTGATTCCTTAGGGATGGGGTGAGGCCCACGATTCTGTGTTTCTTACAAGCTCTCCAGGGAAGCTGATGCTTTTGGTCCGAGGGCCATGCTTTAAGTGGCACAGGGGCCAATGGAACACTCTATTGGGAGCCAGGAGCCAGGCAGGGAGCATGAATGATGCAACAGTGAATCCACAGTAGCCCCCACCTAGCTGCAATCTCCAGAGGGCAACAGACCCTGTGTGAATAGTTGCAATCATCCATCACAGGGCTGTACCAGGGACAACGGAGCCCTCTCTGCCCCACCAGGCTCCAACCTCCCAAAATTGACATCTGCTTCTCTACTACCTTACCCCCGGAGCCTCGGAGCCTAGTACAGATGAGCCCTCCATGCATTTTTGTTGGATGAATGAATGAAGAATGGTAGGTAAGGAAGTTACAAAATAGCATACAGTGGCTGAGAGATCATCTACTATGTACATGAGCTCAGGCAAGTCATTTCACTGCTTGGAACCATGTCCTCGGCATAAAATGGGATCACATTGCCTGCTCATGACATCATGTGTAGCAGAAGTGACAACACTAGAACAATGCATGGAACACAAAAGGGGCTTAGATTAGTGAAGCCCCTTGCTTCACTAATTGCTATAACAAAGAGGCCCCAAGATAGAATGGCTTTAAACAAAATAGATGTTGGGTGGGGGGCACCTGGTGGCTCAGTAGTTGAGCATCTGCCTTTGGCTCAGGTCGTGATCCTGGGGTCCTGGGATTGAGTTCTGCATCGGGCTCCATGCAGAGAGCCTGCTTCTCCCTCTACCTATGTCTCTTACTGCCTCTCTCTCTGTGTCTGTTGTAAATAAATAAATAAAATCTTTTAAAAAATGACAACAAGAAAACAAAATAGATATTGGGGCCCCAACTCTTGATTTCGGCTCAGATCATGACCTCAGGGTTGTGAGACGGAGCCCCGCATCTGGCTCTGTGCTCGGTGTGGAGTCAGCTTGAGATTCTCTCTCCTACTCCCTCTGCCCCTCCCCTCCCAAAAATAAAATTTAAAAAAATAGATATTGAGTTCTCTTGCAAAAAGGGATCGAAGTGAGTGAGCAGCTCTCAGTTGGAGACTCAAGATTGTTTCCACTCCATCCCACTTCCCACTCCATCCTCTCCTAGGGCATTGGTCCAATCTGTAGGTTCTAGGCTGGTTTGCAGGGCCATGTGGGTTGCCCCAGCTGACAATGAAACAGTATGTAGGAACTCACACCAACATCCTAAGTCCTGGGATGGGAGGTGGCACACATCACTTCTGTTCACATTTCATGAGTGGGTTCTTTGTTATTTGGCCACACTTTGCTGCAAGGGAGGCTGGAAAGGGTGGTCCCCGATCTAGCTGACTGGCCACGTGCCCGGCCACAACTCGAGAGCTATCTAAAAAGGGGGTTTTGAGAGTCTACAGCACACGGAGCTCAATTGAGATCGAGAGATGATAGATAATATACAAACAGAGAAAAACTATATGGTATAAATAGAATCTATATAGAACCTATATAGCTATATATGGTATTGATACTGATGTCGATGTCACTACAGATACAAGGAGTCACTTCTCGGCATGGTTTCTTCCTCCCTTCCCAGCGCTGCCGCCCACCACTCTCATCCTGCATTTTATCGCCTCCCCAGGGTGAGTGCTCTCAGAAGTGCTACTATATTTTCATCGTGGAGACGGTCTGCGTGGCCTGGTTTTCCCTGGAGTTCTGTCTGCGGTTTGTCCAGGCCCAGAACAAGTGCGAGTTTTTCCAAGGCCCCCTGAACATCATCGACATCCTGGCCATCTCCCCGTACTACGTGTCCCTGGCGGTGTCGGGCGAGCCCCGGGAGGATGGCGAGAGGCCAGGCGGGGGCTCCTACCTGGAGAAGGTGGGGCTGGCGCTGAGGGTGCTGCGGGCGCTGCGCATCCTCTACGTGATGCGCCTGGCCCGCCACTCGCTGGGGCTGCAGAGCCTGGGCCTCACCGTGCGCCGCTGCACGCGCGAGTTTGGCCTGCTCCTCCTCTTCCTCTGCGTGGCCGTCACCCTCTTCTCCCCTCTGGTCTATGTGGCCGAGAACGAGTCCGGGCGGGTCCTGGAGTTCACCAGCATCCCGGCCTCCTACTGGTGGGCCGTCATCTCCATGACCACGGTGGGCTACGGAGACATGGTCCCGCGCAGCGTGCCGGGCCAGATGGTGGCCCTCAGCAGCATCCTGAGTGGGATCCTCATCATGGCCTTCCCAGCCACATCCATCTTCCACACCTTCTCACACTCCTACCTGGAGCTCAAGAAGGAGCAGGAGCAACTCCAAGCGCGCCTTCGCCACCTGCAACACGCCGCCACGGCCGGTGAACACGAACTCCTGGGTGACGTCGACGACCTGGTCCCAGAGGGCCCCACCTTGCCCACTAACTACATTTAACTCAAAACCCTCCATGAAAAGGGCAGGACTGCAACCCAGCGCCCTCGGCTGACCCAGCTAGAGAACACCAGGTGTAGACCATCTGGTAGGATGTTTCTAGAGCTCCAGGGTCTCTCCCAAAGCTGGGAGGGGCTCAAGGCCACAGCTGTTTGCTTGTTGTGATTCTTGACCCCACCGGCCATGGCAATTCTGGCTATCATTATGGATGCTCCCTGCCTTTTCCCCCCTCTCTGCACCTTGCTGAGCACATTGGCTCTTTCTGTTAGGTCAGCCATCCTCCACTCCTCTTCCTCCCCTGCAGTCTTCCACGCCCCAGGCTGGGTTCTGGATGCACAGAACTGAGCCTACAGAACTCCATTCCTCCCCCCGAGGCTCTCTTTCCAGGCTCACCCTACCAACAGGAACCAGAGAGGTCAGTCACTGCAAACCCTTCTGATCAGATATCCCCACCTAGCCCTATCGCAGGTTCCAGCAGAGATCAATATGTCCTCTCCCCACTCACCATTGCCAGTGGCATTTCCCGAATGCCGCTGCCTCCTCCCCGGCTCTGGAAGCTTTTAGCCAAGAAGGCAGAACTGGCCTCAGCGCTAAACCCCACATTGGGAGCTGGTGGCCTGCCGTTCCTCCTGATGTGCCTGGGACCTGGGCAGGCATGCCACTTGCCAGCACAGCAGGCCCTCCTTGGCCAACTGGACTCTTATTGGGACATTCTCCAATTATCCAGCTCTTGGCCCTGACAGAGGCTAACTCTTGCAGGGCACTGCATTGTCCCTGGAGAGAACCATTCCTGCTGCTGGTTCCTCCAGCCCTGAAGAGACCTCGGCTTTCCACCCTCAGCTCAGCCACCCACCGCAGATGCAGTATAGCTTCAGTGCAGAAATGTGAGCAGCCTTAGGATCTGCCCCTTGCCAGCATGCACGACCAGTGTAAATTCCTCCGCTTTTCTTTAAGTATGTTTGTCAATTTAGGTATTCATTCACAAACAGATTCAGCCCTTTGCATCCAGTGGAGGAAGCAGAGGCAGGAGCAAGTTGTTTAAGCTAAAAGCAGTGTGTGCTGAGGCCAGAACCATGAATCCTGAGCCACCAGCTCACAGAGAGCTTCACCCAGACCCAGGAGGGGTTGAATGAGGAGGAATGTTCTGGGAGCTAAAGTTGGGAGGGGGTGGGAATGGGAAGGTGGTAGGCTGTGAGGACTGAGCAGAGGATCTGGGCTTTCTGGTAGATGCTGGAGGAAGCAGTGATGTGGCTACACAGCAGGTGTGGATGAAGACGGTTAGGCAGCGTGCAGGAAGACCAGCGTGGGGCAGAGAATGACCAAGTGGCTCAGACAGGTTCTGAGGACCTCCTTCCTCTAATTATTAGTTGTGCGAGGAGTGCCAAGTCCTGGTGTCGCTTATTTTCTGGGGGAGGCCTCGACGGCACCTTCCTTGAATGACACAGCTGTGCACTTTACAGTTGGCTGGAAACCCACTGCAGAATGCGCACTGGACATGCACCACATGGAATGGTGGTGGTGAGGTTGTCAGGGATGGGTGGATCCAATGTCATCTGTGTGTAAGCACGTCAGTGTTTCATCATCGGAGACAGCTTGCCTGCTCTTCATTCATTCTGCTGGCGTTTAGTGCAGGCCCACCATGTGCCAGGCACCTGCCTTCCTCTGACTGCAACACCAGGCACCACGCCGGCTCTGGCCCAGGGCAGCATCCTGTACAAGCATCTGGCTGCAAGCTAGCCTCATCTCGAGGGTAGCCCTCATTCCCTTCTGGGAACCCTCCCAGCTGAGGGGGTAGATGCCTCCATCCCTCCAGACCCTCCAAATCTGCAGGTCGGCCCCAGTCCTTCCCACACTGACATTTCACCAAGGAAGCTCTTTGCAGAGTGGCACGGTGGTCACACACAAGGAAAGCCCCTCTGTAAAATCCCTACCCCGTGCCATCTGCCCCAGGAAGTGATTAGCACAGTCTCATGAGCTTGGGGTACTTGTGACCTGAGTCCTCACTCAGGCCCTGATTTTCACTCTCTGTGACTGTAACTCCTTTCCCTCTGCCATGTGTGGGGCTTTGGCCAGATCTGTGATTTTTCTGACAGGGGCTCTGGCAAGACCCTTGGGGTTGCTTTGTGGGCAGAGAGCTCTGCATCCCAAGGTAAAACATTTGAAAAGAATGATTTTGAAAAGGATGTGAGAATTTCTAGACATCCTCCCACCTCTAGCCAGGTCCCCTTGAATTGAGGTGGAGAGCTCACCTCCAGAACCAAGGAAGAATCCTCGACAGCCTGTGGAAGGCCTGGGAGCCCCATCGGACCCCATCCCCGGCCCTCCCTCTTCTCCTGGGAGGCCTTTTTTTCTGTGCTGTGTGTGTGCAATAATGCCTCACTGCAGCTCTGCCCATCCTGTGATGGCTTCCACCTAGGCAGCTCCATTCTCCTCTGGTTTATATTCCAGCCATCTGAGCAAAAGGGTGCCAGGACTATAAGAAACCTAGGTAAGCCCATCTCCAACGTTACAAGATCCTACAGCATCTTAATACATGCCCGGTGGAAATTCTACCAAATTAGAAGTGGAAAATTGGAATTGATTGCTCACATGTGGGGCTTAATTAAACGCTCTATTTTTTCTCCCCAGTAATAGCCCCAGGGACTGGTCTAAGTAGAATTTGTCTAGCCAGCTTCCCTTCATGCTGATTGGATGGGATAGAGATGACAAGCGAGTTGCTAGGTGGTCTCTTCCTCCCCATTGGCTGAAAGGAGTCTTGCCAGTCCCTTAAGGGCTTGTTTTCTCTGAGGTCAATGGGCATGAGTGCAGCCAAAGGTTGAAATTTTCCAGCCAAAGGCAAAGGGTAGCTGGCCCTTTTCTTCAAGCAATTTCATTTTGTGTCATAGATGTAGCTCCCAGAGATCATTTTATTATTATTATTATTGTTATTATTATTATTTTAATTGAAGTGCAGTTGACACACAATGTTACATTAGTTGCAGGTGTACAACACAGTGATTGAACAAGTCTATACATTAATGCTGTGCGCACCCCAAGTGTGGCTACCATCGGGATAACTTTAAAATGTTGGTCTCTAACCAGAGTCGAGCCCAAGAAGTGACTTGGGGATGGATAGGTTAATTCTTCAACCTGGTGCCGGAGGGGGGGGGGGGGGCTCCACCCACTGACTCTATTTTGAAGGCTTATAGGACTTGAGAAACTGGTAACTGGACAGCTCATCAGAATACTATATAAGCAGGGAGCTTCCATGAGGGGGTCTGTGACCCTCTGGAGATTATGTGAATCTCAAAGTGCATAGCTTCAAAAACCAGTCCAACAACTTTTATCAGATCCTCAAAGGAATCCATGGCCCCTATGAAAGGATAAGAAATTACTAAGTAAATCAAGTCTCATATTTTAAGGTGAAGGGACCAAGGCTCAGAGAGGGAGAGCCACCTGCCCAAGGCCACACAGCCAGTTTACTTCGTTAAATCCAAGCATCCTGGTTTCCAGCAGAATACTCTTTCTCGTGTACCATGCTTTAGCACTTAGGCTCTTCTGAAGGGGGCACAAGCCCTCAAAGAAAATATTCAAGACAAGAGTACAACAAGAATATAATTTTGCCGTGTTACCCTGAGTAGAGTAAGCAGGGTTGTGCTGGGGTATCTCCGGCACAAGCTGTCACCCTTCCTTTGTCATATCACAGTGGATATGGTGACTGATTCCACTGGCCCTTCCTTTTCTCATTGATCCCATGGAGAGGTTGGACCAGGTGGTTAGGAAAGTCCCTCCAGGCTTGGACAGAATGTGATTCTGGGTAGCAAGTTTCACTGCAACAATTTATGCCACAGAGGGGCAGGTAAGACGCCAGGAGAAAGGTAAAATAAACAAACCATAGTCCCTGACTGTCCACAGAACTGCTCCCTTAGCAAAAATCATCAAGTAGTTCAAGTTTGAATAGAAAGTCACTGAGATCTCTGTCCACCAGCTGCCCACCTCGTTCCTACCCACCCACCTGGGCTCCTGGCCCCCAACCTGAGGCCTGCAGGTGCCTGGCTAAGCAGCTGTGCCTGCCAGTGCCTGCCTCTCACCAGGGGCACTGGACGCCGATAACTCTTCCTCATATTGATACGTGAATAATGGGCTGCACTTCCTGAGTGATTACTAGGCACTAGGCAACTGATTTTTTAACATTTTATTTGGGAAACATCAAACAAAAAATTTGCAAGAACAAAAACAGTACGTATATGCAATACCTGAATACACCTCTTTTTTTAAAGCATGTTTTGCCATTTGCTTTGCTTTATCATTTACTATTGTTTTATTATATATAAATAGTAGATTTTTTGGACCATTTGAGAGTAAGTTGACTACATCACAGCCCTTTTATTTTTTTTTTATTTATTTTTTATTGGTGTTCAATTTACCAACATACAGAATAACACCCAGTGCCCGGCACCCAGTCACCCCCACCCCCCACCCTCCTCCCCTTCCACCACCCCTAGTTCGTTTCCCAGAGTTAGGAGTCTTTATGTTCTGTCTCCCTTTCTGATATTTCCCACACATTTCTTCTCCCTTCCCTCATATTCCCTTTCACTATTATTCATATTCCCCAAATGAATGAGAACATATAATGTTTGTCCTTCTCCGATTGACTTACTTCACTCAGCATAATACCCTCCAGTTCCATCCACGTTGAAGCAAATGGTGGGTACTTGTCGTTTCTAATGGCTGAGGAATATTCCATTGTATACATAAAACACATCTTCTTTATCCATTCATCTTTCGATGGACACCAAGGCTCCTTCCACAGTTTGGCTATTGTGGACATTGCTGCTAGAAACATCGGGGTGCAGGTGTCCCGGCGTTTCATTGCATCTGAATCTTTGGGGTAAATCCCCAACAGTGTAATTGCTGGGTCGTAGGGCAGGTCTATTTTTAATTCTTTGAGGAACCTCCACACAGTTTTCCAGAGTGGCTGCACCAGTTCACATTCCCACCAACAGTGTAAGAGGGTTCCCTTTTCTCCGCATCCTCTCCAACATTTGTGGTTTCCTGCCTTGTTAATTTTCCCCGTTCTCACTGGTGTGAGGTGGTATCTCATTGTGGTTTGGATTTGTATT